GACTTGAGTTTCTTTGTAAGACAGTGATGGGTGCGGAGAGGTTGTCCAAGTGCAGCCCCGATTTGCAGGCTGCAGGTATCTCTTTCAGCTGCAGCAGCACTCCAACTACCTCTAATGGCACGCTCAGGTTGCAGGCAACCCCGGCGGCGGCGGTGGCTCGGCGGAGCTTCCCACGCCGGCCCCCAGCTCCACGCAGCTGGGGCTCGGAGCCTCAGCCTCGCACCGGCGGCGAGACAAAGCTGGCGCTGGGAGGAGGAAAATGGCCCGCGAAATCGCCTCAAGAGCGTGCCTTTGTTTGAAGAAACATTGGATCCCCTCCGAATGCGACGTCGGCTTCCAAGCCCAGCGGTTTCAGTGGTGCAGTGAATTGCGCTGGCCCTAATAACTCAACCTGGCGGGGTCTGCGTGTGTTGCAGAGAGACATTCTTAGGCGTTCTGTCAACACATATGGCACAGAAAGCCTCAACCGTAACATTGCACGGTTGGGTGGGTTTTTATTTTTTGGCTTTGTTTCGTTTCTCTGTTACAGGCAGTCCGAGGAGGACACACAATTCCTTCAGTGTTACATAAATCTGCCTTCACTTTGGAAAGATTGCGTCAACCCCCTTCTCAAAACAAAACCTTCATCGTAATCACCTTCGCTCACTGTCCATACTGCTTTTCAATCACGGAAAGGGCTGCGAGCCTTTTGCTCTAAATTAAGATGAGAGCCAGGTACATGCAGTCCGACTTAGCTAACAATTCTTAAAAGACGCACTTCAATCCGGATTGAAATCTGGAAACTGCTTATACTAAGGAACTCTGGTGGCACAGCGATGTAAGCGCTGCTGCTAGTCCAAAGGTGGGCGGTTTGAGCCCACTGCCCACTCTGAAGGAGATGTTAACAGTCTGGTTCTGTAAAGATGTTCAGCCTTGAAAGCCGAAAGGGTAGTTCCATTTTCTCCTACCAGGGTCGCAATGAACCCAAGGAGACTCCATCCAGGGTATGGGGGGTTGCGGTTACTGCTTTGGGTGATGTTAACAAGCAAGAAGGCTTTGTTTTGCCCAGAAAAGATAGGGAACAAGCCACACACAGCCCCCTCCCAGCTGTACTGCTAACTGCTTATTTGTCTCTGGGTCCCTGAAGTCACTGGTTCAGTTCTCTAGCCTGTGCTCCAGAAATAATTATTTATTACCAAGCATGAATAGGGTTGAATACCCTGCGGAGGGTTTTTGGCATGCAGCCAAAGAGAGGAGTTCATAAAGACCATCTAAAAATTGTTTGCCAAAATGAGTTTGTACACTGATGAAAAACATTTGGAAAAACGGTTACATATCCTTAAGACCTTCTGTTAGGGATTGGAGAATTTTAACTGGCCTCCCTTTCCCTCACAACCACACTTTTCACCAGGTTGCTGGAATTCACACACGTATTATTTCCTACTGGGCGTGAAGAGGAGACATGGCAGTCCACTTCCTAAATATTTACAGTTTTGAAACCCCATGGGGGCAATTGTGCACTGTCCTGTAGGGCCACTAGGAGAATCTACTGGATAGCTGTGGAGTGTTTTTTGTTTGATTTAGTTCCTCAATGTAGAACAGAAGTACTCAAGCTTATTTAGTGATTCCCTGAACATAAAATGAAATATCGAATTCATGGCCATAGAGTTGATACTAATTCATAGCAACCCTATGGAGCAGGATAAAACTTCCCCTGTGAGTTTCTGAGACTGTAACTCTTTGTGGGACTAAAAAGCCCCATCTTACTCCAGTGGAGCAGCTGGTGGCTTCTAATTGCTGACCTTGCAGTTAGCAGCCCACCCAACGCATAACCACTATGCCACCAGGGACACACACTCAAGTATGTCCACAGCAAGCCTCACCACCACTATCACTACCCAAAAACAACACCAATGAGTTATGTCAACTCACAACCTGTGGAGCGGAGTGGAACAGCCCCATAGGCCTTCCCAGGCTGTAAATCTTCACAGAACCAGACTGCCAACATCTTTCTCCCACAGAGTGGACATCAGAGACTTGTAACCAGAAGATAAGAGCCTCCAAGTATGTACCACACTACCTATTTTGTATGAATAGCCATTGTACAAAAAATTTTGAAGTTAGCATATTGTATAAGCAGTTTTTAAACTGTCGTGGGAAACATTGCTTCCTCACTTCCCCAAACTGCTTAGAGTCTGCACTGAAAGGGTGAGTCCCCTGAAGCATCCCAAGGTGAAGCCCTGCGCATAGCAGAGAGCCACTCAGTGCAGAAATGCAGCGCTGCATCTCGGGGTGACTCGAGCACTTGAGTATGTCCAAAGAGAGCCTCACCACCTCCATCACTACCCAAAACACAAACCCAACGAGTTACGTTGACACACAGCCCTGGAGGACAATAGAACTGCCCATAGGACGCCCAAGACTAAACCTTTATGGGGGAAGACACTACATCTTTCTCCAGCAGAGCAGCTTGGTGGCTTCTACCCACGCACCTTTATTAGCAGCTGAACACTACACTACCTACCGCCACACCAGGGCTCCTTCCTCCGCCACTTAGTAAATAGGACCAGAGAAGACCCCTAGGCTAAGACCGGCCCTCCTCCTAGGCATTTTTCACTTGACTTCATAGGCAGGACCCACCTGGCTGACCCCCATTCAGACTAGAAAAGTTGCTATAACCCCAAAGCCTTTCTTCTTTCCAAATGAAATTCTGCAGTTAAGAGTTTTATCTCTGTGAGTAGTTCATTCCTCCAGCACAAAAACCCTAAACCCGGGAAAAGTAATATTTTAAGCCATATTAGTTATTTAGACCTAATTCAAGAGATTATTTCCCAGAAGCAGCTTTTAACGGAAATAATACATGGTGAGGTTGACCACATAGGAGAGGGAAATGTGTTGTTTTTAATCGTTTTGTTAGGGGCTCATACAACTCTTATCACAATCCATACATACATCAATTGTGTAAAGCACATTTGTACATTCATTGCCCGGATATGGTTTTGTTCCTTGTAATTATATATAGTCGAGGATTGCAGACTTGATTGTTAGATAAGTCTTGTTTATACAAACTGTTAGAATGAGCCCCAAAGCAGAGGCCTTCCATGGTGGAAGCCAGGGTACACTTATCAATAGTTGTCAATGTCTTTGTCAAGTATTTTCTAAATAACCCCCTTATCAAGTAAGAAACGGTTCTGTCTAAAGCTGGACATTCAGCAGTAGTTGTTTATCTGTGCTCATAGACAGTGAACAGTGAGATGACCAGGGGACTCAATCATGTAAAATGGATTCATCTTTGTTATTCATTGCTGATTTCTAACTCAGATGAACTGCACATGCAGATATAGCCAAATCTTGATTTTTTTTTACCTCAAGACATTCCTGCCTCATGTTTCACACATTCTTTTCTTTACAAAATCCACCTACAAGACCTTGAACTAAGATAGACTTTGTTTTTTAATTATGACCCTGAAGGAAGTAAAGCCCTTCCCTAAACAAGTCTTCCTAAAGTGATGCTGCAGTGATTTACTGAACTCCAGGACCACCTCAGAGAACAAGCTGATAAACTTTGCTGATAGTGTAGCTTGATCTTCCCATTGTTATTCACCAATTAATCCATTGGGAAAGGCGGGAATCCTTTCTTTCGGGTTCCCTCTCCAAAGGCTGTGCTGGGGGAAGGAATTGCTGCTTAGTAAAAATATGACACACTTCTGAAGGATAGACCTTAAGGTTTAGCTTCCCAGGGGAATATAAACAGATCCCATTAGGGGGAATAAAAGGTACCCAGGCATAGGACCCAAGCACTGCTTTTGAAAAGGCCCTTCTAACATTTCCCTAAATAAGCTGAACAGCCATGCAGAAGCTTCAAAGGGACAAAAAACGAAATGCAAGAAAAGGCTTGGGATAATTCTTTCTCCTTTCTTCAATCCTTGGCAAAGACTTAGAGAGGTTTGGAGGCTGTTAACCAAAAGGTCAGCAGTTCAAACCCACCCAACACCCCCAAGGACAAAGATAAGGCAGTCAGTTTCCACAAATATTTAATCTTGGAAACCCTCTGACGCAGTTAGTTCTACTCTGTCCTGTTAGGTACAAAAAGAGGACGTCTCTCCGCTGAGTTGACAACAATGAGCTCAAACATACAACTGGGAGACAGCACAGGATGGGACAGTGTTGTGCAGAGGGGTGCTCTCTATGAATGGGAAGCTACTTGAGGGCACCTAACAACACTAGGTTGTGATGAGTTGTATGCGCAGGCAGCGGGGTTGGATTTTGGTTTTGTAAAGTTACCTAAAATTACATTATCACAGTGTTTTGGGTATCCATAATCTTCAGATTAGGACAGGGTTGCATTCGAAAGAAGTCTAGAAGCAAGCATTAGCTCAATTACAGGCATATGTAGTATATGATGTATTTTACAGGGATTTGCCTTCCTTATTTCCTCCTCCAGCCTAGTCCCAGGATAGTGAGCACAGGAGGGTAAATTGGCAAGTCTGGGAAGTCTACAGTACGTGCAAGAACCAAGCTTGTGGGGTTTATAATAGCTTTACCTCTTAGGTAATGCAAGCACTTCTCTCATAACACATTTCTGTTTTTTAAACATATAGTATTACTCAAAGGGGAAGTACTCCTCCATTTGTGAAAATTTCAAAAAACGTTTCTGAAGGTTTTGAATTTTTTGGTTTGGGCTCCACATATTAAGAATTCTCCTTAAACATTGTTTTTTACCCTACTAGGACTACTTTTCTCTCAAATGTTTTGTGAATTCTTAAAATGCAGGGTGAAAATAACGAGTGTATGGGGATTGTGCCTGTAATGTTTGAAACAAGACAGCCTCAACTGGGAACATAGTAACTGAGTAGGGCAAATTCCTGATTATCTCTGAACATAAATGTGACCTCCCTCATCCTCAGAATGGGCTGAGAATTCAAACTGCTTCATGGACTGCTGGGAAGACAAAATGGCAATGGGCCATGCTGGACAAGTGCTTAGCACAGTGCCTCACACGTTGCAGAGATGCAAACGCATTAGCTATTGTTGCTAGAACCCTCCATGACCAGAATGGTTGTGGTGTGCCATGAGTCAACAAAGTAGAACTGCCCCACAGTGTTCTCCTCTACTGGAGAGATCACTAGGTCTTTTCCCCCAAGGAGCCTCCAGAGGGGTTGGAACAACTGACTCTTGAGTTGGGAGTGTAACCATTGTGCCCCAGGGTGCCATTATCAAATAGTAGTAGTGCATTTTTAAATGCACCATGCTTCAATTATTTCTGAATTGGCTATATAGTTTTTCATCCAAACCAGGATATTTTTGAGAGTGAAGGCAGATGTAGTTAATATTTACAAAGGGAGAACAAATGTATAACCAGGATGGTCCAGGGACCAACCAGGGTCAATGATCACCTTAACTATTTCCAGCTCTACTGGTGTTTTGTTTTTCTAATCAACGTTAACGTTGATATAATTAGAACATTAACGTTCATATGTTCCCTGAGATAAATCAGACATTTATTTCCATCATATTACATTATGCATACTTTCCAAATCATCAAGTTACATACTGTTATACACAGGATCACTATAAATTGTAACCAATGCAAGGGGACCTCACAATAGCAGGGACTAAATACTCTGGTCTAAAATGTCAATTACTACATTAAAACGTTTCTTAAAATTTTTTAGTGAAGAAGTATATCATTCTTAGTTTTGAACTAAAGGTAAATGTCCCCTCCATGACCAGAATGGATAATGTGTTGTGTTAATTAGTGTTCTCTATTTTACTTCTCTGGGTTTTAATATCCATTGTAATGGCTACACAGAATTCACAGACAATGTTCATGACTCAAGGGTTTATTGAGAAAGTTGACAGGTTGTAACGCCAGTGAGAAATGCTCAGGATACAGTTGCTTATCAAGATACATTACCAAGTTCTTTCAGGTCTGCTAATAAATACCCAAAGAAGCAAATCGCTCTGCAGGGAGGCTCAACTGTAGGCATTCAGCTTAAGCTCCACTGGTCAGCAAACCCAGCTTCCTGAATAAGTGCCCCAAAGATCTCACTCCAGTAAGCCTTCGCCCAAAGGCACTTAGTTTCACTTCTGTAGAGCAGCAAGTCCAACAGCCCCAGTTAAGTGCCCGGAAGCATCTCACTACAAAAGCCAGCCTCCTGCACAAGAGTACTTAACTTTACTTGCTCCATCACATTTGGAAATTCATCACTCTGTTCCATGCTACGGCTCTTGGTTCTGCTACTCCTCTGATATTACAGCTATCTTCTGCATCCAGGAGGTTCACTGAGCAGGAATCTCAGGTCCAGAGAATTAACTCCACCCCTGGATCTTACTGGTAATGAGAACCCTCTTACTTGCTTCTCAGAGAACTCATTTTAAACACAGCAGGATGGCATTACAGGGAATCCCGTTCACAATGACTCAGTATCTCCCTTCTCCCTGCATATACCCACCCCACCCCAAGACCCAAGCAGGAAAAGGCCATTTGACCCGTTAGAGTTAGAGATTGTGGCTAGAAGGAACACTTTAAATAATTAAATAATGTGGCTAGAAAAGCCTCATTAAATAACTCACTGCCCCTGCAGATAAAGCTCTCCTAAATCTGGCTTAAACATAGTTATGTTTCTCAACTCAAGGAGCGAGCCCAGGGTGGCACAGGAGGTTATGCATTGAGCCGTGAACCACAGGTCTGCAGTTGAAATCCACCAGACACACTATGGGAGAAAGATGTGGTTTTCTACTTCCGTCAACAGTTACACTTTTAGAATCCCACAGGGCCAGTTCTACTTTGTCCTTAGGCTCACTGTGAGTTGGAATCAACTCGATGACAAGTAAGTTTGAGTAACAATGCAGATAGAAACAAACAAAAAAAAAATTTTAAACACCCAAAACATCTCTCCGTTTGATTTTCTAAAATATCCTTTATATAATTTCTTCTCTTGGGAACAAATGTATTTACAGGTAATTGACTACAAATTTCCTTCAATACTGTTAATCCAAATACTATATTTTTCTCTTTTTTAAAAACCATTTTATTGGGGGCTCCTACAACTCTTATCACAATCCATACATCCATCCATTGTGTCAAGCACATTTATACATTTGTTGCCCTCATCATCCTCAAAACATTTGCTTTCCATGTGAGCCCTTGGTATCAGCTCCTCATTTTCCCCCCTCCCTCCCCGCCACACCCTCCCTCATGAACCCTTGATAATTTATAAATTATTATTTTGTCATATCCTACGTCTCCCTTCACCCACTTTTCTGTTGTCCATCCCCCAGGGAGGAGGTTACATGCAGATCCTTGTAATCGGTTCCCCCATTCCACCCCACCCTCCCTCCACCCTTCCAGTATCACCACTCTCACCACTGGTCCTGAAGGGATCATCTGTCCTGGAATCCCTGTGTTTCCAGTTCTTATCTGTACCAGTGTACATCCTCTGGTCTCGCCAGACCAAATAATATATTTTTCACTGTCTCCTGTTTTTCTCCCAATTCAATCTCTTTGTTTTTTATGACATGTCAGCGATCAGATCGGTCATTAAATATTGCAGCTTTCTTGACTTTTAATTACCTTTCAATTTCTTATCTTTTTAGTTTTCCTCTAAAATAGATATTGAATTTATTTTTCATCTACCTCAGGAAACTCCTTCTGAAACTTTTTGTTCTCTTATACAAAATATTATGTAGTACTGCTTTTATATTTCCTGCTATGAAACATATGAAATGATTAATACAAATATCATTTTGCTTCCAAAGGATTTTTATTTCTACTTCTTTATATAGAAATATATGTGTAACCAATATTTATTTGATGGTAAATAGCCAATGCCTCATATTTAATTTATTTATTTGCCAGATATTTTATAATTCTCAAAACCGCTCTACATTTTTCCTTCTTAATGTTGCCTTTTACTTATCAGATCACAAACCTGCTTACCTCACAGATCATTAATAGTTCTACTTTGTCTTCGGTAGTCATGAAAAACTAGCCAGTAAATTATTTTCCAGTAATATAACCATCTTTCAGGAAAGTTCTGGCTCTGTCCTTAGGGCTACTCTTGAACAAATTATTTAATCTTTCTGAGCAGTATTGCAAGATCTGTAAGAAACCCTGCCTTTTTTTATCTCACAGGGTTCCTGTGGTCCTCAACTGAGATAATCTATGTATGTGAAAATAAATAAGAGCTGTTTTCTTCCATCAATAATCATACAATTCATTATTATCATTAATAAAATGTCATCAGCCGTTTCAAATGCCTGTTGAATTTGTAGCTCCATATTTGCATAATTTAGAGCAGCGGTTCTCTACCTGTGGATCACGACCCCTTTGGGGGTCGAATAACCCTTTCATAGGGCTTGCCCGATTCATAACAGTAGCAAAATTACAATTATGAAGTAGCAACGAAAGTAATTTTATGGTTGGGGGGGTCACCACAATATTAGGAACTGTATTAAAGGGCCGCAGCATTAGGCAGGTTAAGAACCACTGGTTTAAAGTATATATTAAATACAGCATCTGCTCTCTCTAAAATCTATAGTCTATAAGGTAAGCTGAGTATTAACTCATCAAATTTATATACAAAATGCTCACCTCCCTGATATGATTGTTGAAGACAAATGGGTGTATAAGCAAATGTGGTAAAGAAAGCTGTTGGTGCTGGCTATCAAAAGATACAGCGTCTGGGGTTTTAAAGGCTTGAAGGTAAACAAGCGGCCATCTAGCTCAGAAGCAACAAAGGCCACATGGAAGAAGCACACCAGCCTGTGTGATCACGAGGTGTCGAAGGGATCAGGTATCAGGCACCATCAGAACAAAAAAAATCATGTCATTGTG